ACAATGAATCATATACGTCGGCACTAACACCAACATACCCTTTACAGAAAACAGAATCCCCCTTTCCTGACCTAATCTGTAAATACTGAAACCTTGTTTATCCGCATGTTTATGTTCATAAACTAAGTCCGGATTAGCGAGTAGTGTGACTAAGGAAGTGTTGCGTTTTCTATTGTGCTCAGGTCGTGTCGTCCTAATTTAAGGAGTTCGGACAAACGAGATTCCCCAGAACCAAGGTTCGTCATGTTCCGCAATATTATATTTAAAGTGACGCGGTTGTCGCGGTACGATTTATATAAACAAGCCAGGATGAGAGATGCGTGAATGACCACCGTTTAACATGGGTACTCAAAATTCCGCTTCATCATTATACACACGAAGGGAGTCGAACCCGGGTCTTCGATGTGACAAGCGAACGCCTTGACCACTGGGCTACCCCACAGCTCCCTAACACCTACCCATCCCTGAACCCCAACGTGCTTACCCGTCTCTACATCCGGGTCCCACACAGCCCGGCTCCTCCCATCTCGTGGTCGGATCCCGCAACGACGGCAGCAAAATATCCCGTTTGAAAATATTAATTTCCTGTAACATTTCACAGACACAGAGCTTTCCATTTGAAAACAGGTCTGTGACATTCAGACCACCTCTTACTTCCCATTTGTATGTATTGACTTCTTGAAAGTGTAAATAGTTTTGGGTGAGAGTCATGGACTGTCTGACGGACGAGTCTCTGACGGAAATACCAGCTGATTCCTAGCCCTGCCTGACCCCAGCCCAAAACACGGTCACGTGACGTTGAAAATATGACACGCTGTCTAATTAAAACATTTGTCCAGTAAAAGTCACTTGGGAGGCGGTTGGCGTGAAGAACATCGAGGCCCTCTGAGGGAGTAAACAACTACCGATTATAAATCCACAGACCATTAAATTTAATTATTTCCAAAATACGATTAAATTAGCCAATATCTATATTATTATTCTGCATTTTTAAAATATCGAAAGACCCAAATGGTTCGACCAGTTTTAACTTTGTTATTTTTAATTACATTAAAATATACCAGTTAACAGAAACAAGCTTTCTCCGATATGTTTTTTTTCTATTTATGCATATAATTCTACAACCAAAGATTAGAGATCTTGGGGGAAAATCTACTCTATTCATCTTCCAATAAGGAAATGAAAACACCAAACTGAGTATAGCGTATATTAAGCTGAACGCTGGCTTGATGCTTGTCGTGTAAGGGTGTACCATTCCCATTAGGTGCAGCCAACCCATACAAGGCCCCTACATACGGAATCACGATTTCGTCTAACTTGAATATCTCTCTCCATGTTTGTATACATTGCTTTTTGAACCGGTGTAAATTTGCCGGGATCGATTAACAAGGATTGTGAGCGAAAATAGCGACCGCATGGTGTTTACCCGTCGTGATCTGGGCGACTAGGGCTGGAAGTCCCGTCGCAATGACCCCCGCGATCACGTCCACGTCGACCTCACACAAGCGGAACCCCCGAATTTTGTAGACACATTTGTAACAATGATTTTAATAAGACCAAGGTCAATGTTGCTGTTTTATCTAAAAACATCTTTATTAAGTCATTATTTCCTCTCAAAACAACAGTTAAACTTGTGCAAATATCAGGATTTGTGGAGAGTAAATGTTTTATATAAAAAAAATTCAGGCGAAAGGCTTTCCGTCTACAGAACAAGAGAAAGACAAATGTTGAACAAATTACGATAGACCTTAACAGGTGTTTGCACTGAAAATTTATTCTGCAATTGGGATTAAATGTTCACATGGGTAAATGTCTTGACGGAATGGAGGCTTTGTTTCCGAGTTTCTTATGTGAAAAACGAGTTTGTTTTACGTCACCGTGTATAGTGAGAGCCTATGTGACGTCATAACTAAGCCAAATTGTGAAAGCCTTGAAATGTGTCCACACTGTGGGAGATTGCGAGTACAGCACACCGACTGCATGATTAATTGTTTGCCAAATGCCTGGCAGTGAAAGAACGTCTCCCAGTCGATGCGATCGGCCGCGGTGTGAGAACACGCTCGCATATGTCGACCGGACTGTTTAATGACGCCAAACGTAAAAAACGCTTCGATTTAGATAAGAATGCTATGAAACAACCACATAGGAAGTTAACCTCCAAGATTTAACTTTGGGTATAAATACTCTTTTACCCATTCATGATTATCTGTGGGCACATGTACGTTGTTTACGACATCCAATTTCGGTACGTCTGCCGTAGAGAGTACGCAACGTCTTTATTTAAAGGAGCCACTAATAAAACAGTGTGGCTTAACTAAACTGGGCGGCAAAAGAAAGTATAGGTCGAGTTCCATGATCGATAAAAAAATAACAAGAAGAGGTTTTGTTGTGAATTATAATTTAATCTAGGGAGGGGTAACAAATGATCACGTGTGGTTTTACCCTGCAGACGAACGCATTTATACAGCTAACATGCACGTGCAGTTGATGCCATAGGCGGGAAACCTGTTTCACCATGTTTTTGTCCCCGCACGAGCGCCGTCAAAGGTGGCGCGTTCGGGTGAGGTGTTTTTTGGTACCTGATCCTGGGCAGTCATATTCCCAAAATCCACTTTCCACTAGTTATCGCTGTTTTTAAGAAAATTACAAATTGCCAACCTATACTTTCTTTTGCCGCTTAGTTTAGATGAATACACAAAAACTGACTGCATGGAATTTATTTTATTGACTCCGCGAGGCATGTATAATAATTTTGTTAAAGTGCGCCGCCATATAAAGATGATCTTAGTTCGGTAAGTCGCGTTGACATCCTGGTAATACGCTAACGCCTCAGGTCACAAATTATGGACCAATCAGATTCCACCTCTCGTATCACTTGCGTTTGCTTCACCCAAAATGGTGGCGCCCAGTCAGGACGATCTGACCGATAATCAAGATCTATATTGTGACAAACCGGGTCTTACATCGCGGAATGCATCAAATCACGTGAGCTCCTTGATTAAAAACATGAAAAGATTTGGAAAATATCTGCTGACAACGAGTTGGCGGTGCACATGCTTTGCAAATCCTGCAATCAACCGAAATCTGCACGACAGTTTACGAACCGGATTTCGATTTCGGTGTGCGATTTTGATTGGACTATGCATAGACTCGTTGGTCCAGCCAAAATGTAACTCAATAATACCAGCCCAGTTCAGCAAGGGTAAAAAATGGACTTTTATAGTTAGTTAACTCACTTGCCTCGGGAAGATGAATTCTAACAGACCATGACACACACGTGAAACCCACAAGTGCTAGCTGACGACCACTGATCATAGTCAGTGAGAGAGAGAGAGAGAGAGCTGGTGCTTGGATTTTATCTAATATAATAATTATACTTCAGGCTGTTGAACAAAAAGAAATTGCCTGTCACACAAATTAAATTGTTGCAAGGTGTTTTTCTTGTTTTTAAATCAGGCACAACGTTTTAAATATAAATGGTCGCTCCTTCTTTGAAAAAAGAAAAAAGGCAGTTCGAGTGAGATTATGGAAGGAAGAGGGACTATTCGGGCCAGGTTATTGAAAGAAGAAAGGTTACACGAGTCAGGCGTTTCCAAAAATGAGACGATATTCGGGTCATGTTATTCCAAGAAGAAAGTTCTCAGAAGGAAGGCTCGCAAAATGAGTGCAAGTACGTCAGCACTGCAGTTAAACGACGTTGTACAAGGTAGAACCTTAACGCGGATGTGTGTGTACCCTTTCCTGATTCTGAGATAGCATTCGGTGATTCAGTATGCCCCGTACATGGTAGTAATCTCTCTGTCGACCGGACCCGGCACCAAAACCCTTCCCAGCTCACGAGTCACGTGGTGACGGAGATCCTTGACTGGCTCACTCAGGACACATCGGATAGATCCGTGTCCTGTCCTCACCACAACCGAATAGTGCAAAATTGCAAACGGGAAATCCCCGACTCGCATCTTTTCACGGTAAAACCGGATCCAGTTTGAGGTTTTGATACGAAGATTCGGTAGATGAAATATATGCCTTTGACATAATTATTTCATGAAGAGTATCACCAATGCAAAATACATTTCTAAGAATAAACATTAATCCCATATCAACGTATGAATAAAGAGAAATAAAAAAATATTTGTGTGTTAATGTAAGCATTCTTGTCGGTTTTCACTTTGGGGAAATAATTGAATGTATTTACACTTCTGAAACAGAGGGACATTTTGTTGGTGGTTGGTTGGCTCTGCAATAACTCTGTCCTTTCACTTATATAAATATAACACTTAAGGAATTGTTTTCTATAAATGCCGGTTTTCCTAATAAAATGTGTTGTGAAAATGGTTCGGCAGTGTATATCTTGATGCAGTGACTGGTAAAATATTTTGTCTCTACGTTAAAACACAACTCAGTTTTTTCAGGAAGTTTGTTCTCATCTATCATTGTACACACTTGCCGGATCTTGTTAGTGACGTCATTCTATTAGATATGTTTGGCAAAAAACAATTTATTATTACGAATTCGCCTGTAATCCTAAGTTAGAGGTAAGTAACGGTATTCACTCGAATGAAATGTCAGAATATGGTACACTAAGAGTTGGCGAAACACGGGCGACATAACGTGCTCCTACAAGTACAAACATGTCCGCTTAGGTAGGAAAACAGAGTACCATTGATTTCCTATCACTTTCTTTTCTTCCACACCATCGGAGTTCTAGGGAGACCTGGGTGATGGTGTGGGCTCGTACCCCGACGGCGGCGTGAATTATACTCCTTCTATCAACCCCTAGTTTGTCTAGCCGTTCGTATGATGCTGCAATATTGCACAAAATAACATTCACTCACTCACTCTCTACTCTTCAGCGGTTTCATTCCCAGTCATGACAACGAGGAACAATGTCTCTGTACTTTACACATCCAGGAATGTTTACCGCTATCTAAATTACAGTTGTCATTTCTGTGTATAACATAAATATATTGCATTAAAGTTGAATACGTAATCAAACGTACCTTTTTTCAAACGTTGGCTTTTCTCTTGAAAACGACGAAGATGCCTTCGATCACCCGATAAGGAAATGATAGTTTGTATAGGTGTAAATATCTTTTATATACATTTAAAGAAATATGAACGCACGCATAGTCTTCCTCCCCGATTCGTCATCTATTTCTGTCCCACTGTCTCTGATTGGTCAGTTGAAGACAGTCGCGCGCGCCCACAATCTCTCTGCAGGGTTTAACCCCAACCATGCAAGGAGCTAGATTTACTCCGTTCTGGCGCCTTATTTCTCATTACCCCGCCCTATTCCGAGAACGTCAAGTTATGATAGGCTTACCGCTTACATAACATGTCCATACGAGCATTTTACATTCACGCTGGGGATCGAGAACCAGGAAGTCAAGGGTTAAAGAGAACACGCAAATTCAAAAGTTGATTTATTTGCAACGTGGTGTTGCTGACGATATGTCACGATATGGCAGAGCAATTGTCGATGTGACTCTATATTTTAACTCACTCAGCTATTATCAATGTGCAATTGCAATGTGACGTGACAGATTGTTTAACGTGTATGATAGGACTCATAGCGATACCGACAAGGCAGACGTTCCGCTCAGTACACCAATGTTGCCCATGGTTTCGGTTGTCATTTAAACTTGACTGATAGATCCGAAGTCTATATGAATGCAAAAGGTTTTAGCATTCATAAAATCGCTTTACAAAAATACAGATCAATCTTAGAATTTCTAAACAGGCTGTATCCGGTCAACACACTGACTGTATCTATGTATGTGACGTGCATGTGCCGCTCACCCGGACCTAGACTCTTGGTTACTCGAGAACTGTGCGGTTGTTGCCGGACGTTGTGTGGGAAATGACAACACGTCCACGAGCGTTCAATGTCCCTCAGTCATTCTTCAACCTCCGTGGGGCGGTAGGGTAGCCTAGTGGTTAAAACGTTCGCTCGTCACGACGAAGACCCGGGTTCGATTCCCAACATGGGTTCAATGTGTTATGCCCATTTCTGGTGTCCCCTGCCGTGATATTGGAATATTGGCAAACGCGGTGTAAAACCATAGTCACTCACTCACTTTAACGTCTGTTCCGTGTCAGTTAATATCACTCAACAATATTCCAGCCATATGACGGCGGTCTGTAAATAAACGAGTCTGGACAGCGCAATCCAGTGATTGATATAATGAGCATCGATCTACACAATTCGGAAACGATTACGTGCTTCAAACACCCGATCACGTTAGTCGCCTCTTACGACACGCATGGGTAGCTGGAGAGCTATTTTAACCCGGATCTTCACGGGTGCATGGACAATGTACACCTGGTCAGTCAACCAATAATACTTCCGTATCCGTCATTTCTAGAACTAATGTCATGTCACGTGTGGATGGTAATACACATCCTTTTGCTGATTAATATAAACCGCTGAGCAAAAGAAAGTTGGACTCATGTTTGATGATGACTAAAAATGAAACAAACAAGAAACAGTTATTGGATGGCGGTGTATTTGATACGGGTACATAGTTGTGTTTTTTACCTTAAGTTTGCAGTGTTTCAGTGACTGTTTTCAGCCTAGTAACGTTTTGATAACGTTGTAATGTTTTGGTCAAATACAATTTTCAAGTGCATACTTCCTTTTGTCCGGCAGTGTAGTCCGGAAACAATCGACAACTAGGAGCACCAGCTTCACATGGAGTAACGTGAAAATGCCGTGGTTAGCCCAATGGTCCGAGTATTCGCTGGTCACCTCAAATACCCAGCATGGTGGAAAAGAAAAGAATCAAAGAAAGCAGTTAACACTCTCGCTCCTCAATGGCGAAATTTCTCCTTAATGGTGTTTTGTCATGAATGAGAACGAGTGCGTGAGCATGGTTGTACGCCGCTTTTACCCATGTCGGGAATCGATCCCTGGTCTTCGGCGTGACGAGTGAACGCTTTAACCACTAGGCTACCCAACCGCCCCGAATGAGAACGAAGTGTGAATTATGTTCATCTGCAATAGCTGGAGGAAAAGGCTCCAAGAATTTATTTGTTTTAAATCCACCATAATATGCCCTGCGTTTAATTAAGAAAACATTTCCCATATGAAGTCAACATAAATAACAAAAGCTCTAACAGAAACATCAATATATGTTATCAATCCTATCCCCACTGAATGTACTCGTGATACCTCTTCATCGTGGCGGGGTAGCCTAGTGGTTAAAGCGTTCGTTACGCCGATGACCAGGGTTCGATTCCCAACATGGGTACAATATGTGAAGCCGTGATAGTGCTAAAAGCGGCGTAAAACAATACTCACTCACTTGAGCATGGGATCTTCACAAGCATGTTAAAACTGGTTTTAACGTTAGTATCACAATGCATAAATATACAATTCTAATTCAATTGATCACGTTTTGCTGACGGACGGACACATTTTATCACGTGATCATCAGCTGCATTCCACGTGCATCTAGTCACGTCCGCCGGCAATACGGGTGTGATTGGCCACAATGCGGATGTGCTAACAGCCAATGAACAAGCATGAGCATGGTGCTACGTCACATCGTGTGTACCCGAGACTGCCATGTCTGTGTGCGATTAGTGCAGATGCTCGCTATACTGAAGGCTTCAATGTGTAGCTTTTGTCCGTCATGTCAATAACATGTTGCATCCCTGTAGCCCACTTTTGTTGCAACAAAAGTCGTCGTTTTTCTAATCACAAGTGCACTGTACATTATACACATGTGTTTGTACAATACAAAGTGGTCCACCTACAGATACCACACCTTTCAGATGAAACTAGAAATATTCCATCAATTCATCATTTTTTAATACCCACAATTATATACATATTATTATTTAAATACATCTGCAATTATTTGATATGGGAGTGCATCCACGCTTGGAAAGAAATACATGCTCTTAATAAGAATGAATTGGAAAATTAGGCTGTGTGATAAAAAAATTTAATTAATTTATATTCTGTTTACCTGCATTTGAGTTGCATTGACTGAATTTCAAGTTATAATATCAAAAGGAGATTTATTTTCGGGCGTCGTTTATAGTTTGTGTGTATCTATGTCAGTATGACTTCTTACATACAATACGGACTGCTGCATCAATCTATGTATTGGCTGGCATTAACTTTCATATCAGTTCCTTCTACGGGCAAAGCAATAACAGTTGACAAATACCGTATTTAACATACTACAGCAAGCTACGATATTAGTAACAGATACCGTATTAAACATAGTGCCTTATAGCCTACAATATTGGTAACATATACCGTATTTAACATAGTGCCTTATAGCCTACACTATTGGGGACAGATACCGTATTTAACAGAGTGTCTTATAGCCTACGATATTGGTGACAGATACCGTATTTAACATAGTGCCTTATAGCCTACGATATTGGTAACATATACCGTATTTAACATAGTGCCTTATAGCCAACAATATTGGGGACAGATACCGTATTTAACATAGTGCCTTATAGCCTACGATATTGGTGACAGATACCGTATTTAACATAGTGCCTTATAGCCTACGATATTGGTGACAGATACCGTATTTAACATAGTGCCTTATAGCCTACGATATTGGTAACATATACCGTATTTAACATAGTGCTTTATAGCCTACGACATTGGTAACAAATACAGCATATTCTACTCCAATATTGGTGAATATTTCCGTATATTTCAATTAAAGTAAACGGCAATTAAGACAGGATCTGAGGATTAAGCTGAGGTTCTGTGACAGTACACACTTTATGATAAAAAACTTCATATCTTATAATAATTTGGATGTATATATTACTTATTACTAATATTGAAATGTCACTATATTTATCAATCATACCAAAGGCCAAGCAGACGATAGCTCACCTTGCAAAGCTAAAATTAACATCACCCATGCATCGCATGTAATTCATTCAATGCATTTACAACTTTGAAATATTACTTTAATTAACAATAAAACCGACAAAATCCTTTCCATATTCATAGATTATTTATGCCGGAAACAGACTCGATTGCAGATTCCGAACTAAATCCTGAGCGTAGTATTATGAATCTATAATCATTACTATCAAATAGTGATGATACCAGGTGTTCGCGAAAAGGTGAGCGTATCCTGCCCCACCCGTGGCACCCGTCACAATAATTTCACAACCCGCCACAAGGCATTTCAAAGGCAAAGCTAATAACCCTCACCCATATACTATCGACAATGTCTACTTAAATTCAAACTATTAAATTACTTTAATGACCATTGTGTAGATATCCAGGCAATGTATTTAACGCAATAACCACCGAGTCACGGTCACGTGACACCTGCTCGAAAAACTCATTAGACGTCAAGATAGCAGCTGTAAAAACAAATTGTTTGTAAACAATATTAACCCAATTTACTGGCACTATAGATGACAACTTCTTCAATTATGATGCAACGTTTCGATATAGATCTTTATACTTATACCGTTGCTTGACAACGGTTTAAGGATCTGAACTTGTATATAGTTTTCATCTTATGAATAGAGGGTTTTGTCGTTATTATTTTTATACTTTCAAGGTTAATTCCCGCAAAACAGACTTATTTTATTGCAACACTATTGACAAACCATGGATGCCAAATAGGCATATGGAAACTTAGAACACTCAACTATCTTAAAGCATTAGCTGGGTTTTTTTCTAGTATATGCTGCAAGTCGAGTCGTCGCTTGGCGATATGGACTGAAAAATACATATCTATTACTGATGGACAATGTTTAGAACTATGATGGTAATAATGAGGTGAAATTGGGTTTAACGTCGCGTCCAAGATTATTGCACTTATATAGCGCAGTTTAACATAAATACCCCACTCAGACACAGTATACTGACTCCGAGCCGACCAGTTCTTGTTTTAGCCCCTTAATGCCGAGCGCCAGACAGGGTAACAACAAGAACAATCTTTTAACGTCTTTTTGTATGACGCGGCCCGGGATCGAACCCTGGACCTTCCACTCTCCGGGCGGACGCTCTACCACAAGACCACGGAGGCGGTCTATGGTAATAATGACACTAAAGATGATATATGATGG